AGAACCTTGAAATTTTGTATATGGAACTTGTGCACCTCTGTTTTTCGTTACAATCGGTTGCTCCACTATTATATAAATATATATATTTCCGCTTTGTTACCTGGTTCGGTGAGCTTATTTTTTTTCCTTCTTATATGTTGGTAAAATGTGTGCAATTTTTGCTTTAAAAATGATTGAATTATATTGTTCTTATCTTCCGGTTAAGGTTCTTATGCCTTTAGACAATTTGCATGCATTAGTTTTAGAGTTATCAACAATTTAAAAGTTGTTTAAGTGCCGTTAAGCCTAATTTTTGTTTACCACAGCAGCCATATTTGTTTGCATTTGAAACTGAAATTGTAAATTCAGTTTTAATACCTTCAGTATCGCTTTGCAGAGTGAGACCAAAATTAAACTCATTTTTGCGCACCGAAAAATGTGCCTTGTTGCCTGCTGGCTGAATTGCTTATTTTTGCGCACAAACCCTAATTTTAATTGTAAAAACAGTTTTTTTAACTGTATTTGGCGCTTTATGTTTTTATGTATTTAACAATTTTTAATGAAAATGTTCAGAGGTTTTATTAATTTTTGTTTTCCGCGAAGTGAGAACTGAGTTATTCAATTCTTCAATATATTTCGCTCAAGATAAACACATTTAAACGGATTTTGATTGAAAAATTAAGATACGAATTTTACATAATAATGATTTGCATCCTTCCCAGAAACGATGCGAATCTGACTTTTGCCGTAGTACTAAACATTGATTGTATTGACGTTTTACATTAAGAAAACAGTTATCACTCTTATGAGATAGATGCCTTTGTGATGAACTGACGAAAGGAAACTTGTTCGTATTCATGTTACACATGAAGAAAACCACGAAAATGCCTATGCTACTAGCTTGTTCCCGAGGACTGAACCCGGGATGAATTACCAGTGTTTAGCGAATGCACCCGCTGACAGGTAGACTCCTAAAAAGTCGAAAACCGATCTAGAATTTAGGTCAAAGTGGACAACGGCGTTTAACTTGAAGCAATGGAAATCATAACGAACACTAATAAAATTCTTTAATAGTCTCTGGAAAATTTTATGTTTAAAAATAAATAAAAAAAAAACTTAACATATACTTTAAATTTCAATTAAAATTCGGTAAACACTTGTGCTGCAATAGATAAACTTGATAACCGTAATAATAACAGGGCGGGAACATTTACTAGCCAAATGTTATATATGCTTTGCTCTGAAATTATATCCAGCGATCGTAAGTTTATCACACGTTCCCAAAACGCACTGCGGGGGATTTCATCCGATTAGCAGGTGACAAATCCTGTGACAAAGTAAATCCTTATAGGGAATGGGATTATGTGTCATTCGTGCTGAATGCCTTGCTCAAAATACCAGTGGTATAAGTAAAGGAAATTATAATAAATGAAAGGGTGCGATGGGTGATTTGAAATTAATTCGCTGTTGTCAGTTATTCGCTTGAAACACATTCTTGCATGATAATGGCAAACATGTTGTTGATATAGATGGTATTAAATTTACAGACATTTCATTCGGCTTTGCAACAGTCCTTAACGACACACACGAAATTCCGTTGTATTTTATTAAATATGCATATACGCTCATCAAACGCAACTACATATCTAAAACTGCTTTAAAAATTTATATTCCTGAAGAATTTTTAACCCAAACGGAAAATTTGCCCAGAAGGGTTGTAAATTTCGTTTTCCGTCGGTTCGCTATAAATGTCGCTTCATTTTTCAGATTGTTGCCACCAAGTATTACAGCCCTGAATTATACTTAAATAATGAAGAATCTGCATGAAGTTATGTATATTTCTCGCATTGTGAAAAAACAACGGTATCTAGAGGCATCAAATTTTGAATAACGTAGTCCTCCATTCGAATATGGGCACCTGGAAGCCCAAATTTGGAATTTGGAATTTGTTTCATTATCTATTTCATATTATGTCAAACATTAAATAATTTTTTGATTAACAAACTCAAAGATTTCAAAGCGATCAATGGCAATACTGTATGGAAACAATTATCTCCAGCGTGCGAGACTGTTTACCGAAAATTCTAAAGGCATGTTCTTTTAAACTTTTTGTGATGTTGCCGTTGAATTGAATTTTATGGCCTAAGTGCGAAGAAATTGCTATTTAATAAGTAAATGTAACACACAAAGCGTTAAATTACGACTCTTTGAGCGTAATTGTAAAAATTCGAAAGGGTTTCAGACTTTTTTGTTTTTAATTTTTATCTTCAAATTTCTGAAGTCTTATATTCCATTGGCGGACAATCAACCGATTTAGGCTTAGCCACCACTAAGTGTTATCCACTTTATTGTTGAAGAACTTTACAGTAATAGACAGTGTACCAGTTACCATAACAGTATACTGTTACCTCCTATGAAAGACGGACAAATACAACCATGACATCTCCAGAATTCAAACCCGGGCCCTTCGTTACCGCAGTAACTACTATACCGTTTGCGTGACGATTTTGCCATTCTTACTCTGTTTATTCTGTTGAAGTATTTTAATTGTATGATACTTGTTCAATACATTTTATTCCTAAATAGCTTTAGGTATGATGAGGTATATTTAAATTTAGCATCAGCTTTAGAATGTCCAGAACTTAGTTTCTGGACTTCGTTCTAGTTTTTACTAAAAATTTGAATGTTTTTATTGAAATATCTAGCTGGTTAGCCAAACTAACAGTGGTTTTCATTAAAGACTTTCATTAATTAAAAAAAACGAACATATGACGCAAAATGTTGCAACTACAGTAATTCGCCTTTTTACTGCTAATTTCGATGTAAATTTCTATTAATTATGGTTGGGCTGCCTGCGTATTTATATTTAATTCTAATGAATTACATTCATATACAATTATAACAGAAAAGCGTTTGTGTTGTGTGTATTAGCGTTCTTGCGTAAGAATTGCTTAAATATAGGAAACAACATAGAAGACAGCTATTTCAGATATAGCGAAATGAGTAAGTAGAGAAATAGTAGTTACATGTTTATCGTTCCAAAAACAGAAGATAAGAGTAGATGTTTTCATATGAACCCTGCTATTTTTAAATAATTCAGGACTTGGTTTAGATTTCCAATTTTTTGTGAATTCAAGACTTGAAATGATCCCTAAATTTCTTTTATATAATTCAGGGATCATTCTAGCATCACGTTGCTATTACTTCTTTAAGAGGCAGGTCATTATATACAGACATGATGAAACGTTTGAGCCATTTTTAAATAATTTCATGTACATTTTGATGAAGGGCTTGGCTAGTTGCTTAAGGCAAAGCATACAACGGCTTTTTAAGGGGAGTTGTGATTTCATGTAAGATTTTCTAAGGCAAACTAACTTACATTTGCCTTACTGATGGGGGAAGAGTATTTAACAGAACCATACAGCCAGCCTGTTTGCCAAGATATGAACTAAAATCAAATTACCTCAATTAAAGTTCAAAAGTTCCTCAGAATTAAAGTTCATCTATCTTAATATACGGAGTGAATTTGGAAGAACATGTAGACAACTGTAAAGGCATTTGGAAAATAAAAGACGGTAATTCAGAGCTCGGAATAAAATTGAAATTCATAATTATGCAGCACATATATAGAGTTAATATGTATATATGGGAAATTCACTTGTTAAATCTTCATTTAGCGTAAATATAAAATATATAAATATCAGCGTTGACAGAAATCTGCTAAAAGCAATAGTATCCTAGTTTGAAATAAACCACTTCATTTATCTTTTCTTTTGAAATCCAGATGAGAAATAGAAAGAAAGAAGGTTAAAAATTTTAAATAAACATTAGCGCACTTTATGCACTAAAAAATGAACTGCGTGAGTCTCCAGGATAAAGTATGTGTAAATTCCCTCTAGAAATTTTATTTCTTTTTGCTAGAATAAAGTTAAATGCAGAGGCTTCCAAAGTGAGAGACTGAATTTTCATAATTACGAAAGCAAACGCTCAACACAGTTTTATCTTCAGGCAGAAGATAAAAAAAGTAAATAACACCGTTTATTGCTACCATTTCCGAGTAAAACACCCCAATGCTTTGTTTGACTGAGTTAAAAAATATTTAGAATAAAACAGCTCAGAAACAAAAATTGCGACTATAGCAGCAGAAATCATCCCTCTAAAACAAAAATCACAATTAGTAAAATAAATGAGCAACTAGCGACCTATTTAAAGGAATTTATAGCTGTCCCTTTGGGAAAAAATATAAATACGCCGTAAGAAGGTAAAAGCGAAATTGCTACCTGAACTTTCTTTTTACATTTTATAAATTAAGAAAATGTTTCTTGGATGCGTGTTTGAGATAAAAACCGTTTGCAGTTTGATAAACACGGTTACTTTGTGAGTATAATGTTTTTATATAGGTCCAAAAAGTTAACTTTTTTTCTCTTGCATTTTTTCCACTCAGCTGACTATTTAGAATTTTTAATGGAATAAAAAAGCGCATTCGAAAGCATCCTTATTTTTTTAAATATTTGAATATGAAAGATAGTACTTTTCCTTTAACATATTTCTTTACGATAAGACATTACTTTGGGAATGTATATCTACGCATTTTGAGACGTCATTGCCAAGATGCATTAGATAGTGCGTTTTGTCCTACTTTAGCATTGAATTTGTTACTTATGCTTGAGGAGTTTTTCACGTTTTCGTATGTAACAAAAATTAAATCATAAGCGAGGTTACATTTGGGAGTTTTAAAGCTCTGTTATCTCCCCTCGAAAAAGGTTTTCCGTTACAGTTTTCTGTTTTCTGCATTTTTTGTTTAAAATTAAAAAAAAAAAAAAAAAAAAAAAAAAATGTTGTCTTACCCAAACTTAAAAAGAAATTATGAAGCCCTTTTTGAAGGAAGAAAATAAAAAGCACGTTGTTAATTTCATTTTATAAACTATGCAATATTGCATACTGTTTAAATAAATAAAATCTTCAGAATTTAATATTTTGTTTATGTTCATGTAAACATAATCTCTAGTTGAGTTACGATTCTATGTAAGACAAGATAATCATTAAATATCGTATATTTTAAATTGCAATTCCAATCTTTGGGTATTTCGAGTATATGTTAATATATAATAATACAGTATTATAACATTTTAAGCAAATTAATATCTTACTGAAAAAAAAAATCAGAATATAGGACGTATTCAATTAATATTCCGCCATTAATGTTAATTTTATTTTCAGGTTTGCTGATGACGATGTTACCATTCGGCATCGAACCACCGGCTTCAGGGTCATGCTTCGAATGCCGGCTTTCGTTCGAATGAATCTGGCATCGCTGGCAGCAGTCATAATGACGGCAGCCATGTGCATCACTTGCAGCAGTGGTCAACAGCACTTTGACTGCCCCCTGGCTCAACATCTGAGTCCATGCACCTGCATGGAGCGGGCGCAAGGATTGGACGTCACTTGCACAGACATCAGCTCCATCCAGCTGCGAGAGGTTCTTGATGTCGTTGGATTAACCAGACAAACATTGTGGTTCCTAAGAATCACTCGCGCAGAGCTTTCGAACTTCCCGAAGCACCTTCTGGAAGGTCTGGATATCCGCAATCTCATTGTCGTGCAATCGAACATCAGCGCCATAGAACATAATGCTTTTGTTGGTGATCCATCGCGAGTAGAATCATTGGATTTGGCAAGAAATTGTTTGGACCGAGTTCCATCAAGATCTCTTTCAGTTTTAAAATCCCTGGCAGCCCTTAGTTTAGATTACAATTCCATCGAGACTCTAGAAGCTCATGTATTTAGCAATTTGGAGTCTCTTCTTTGGCTATCACTATACGGAAACAGAATTAGACTCATAGACAGCCGAGCATTTTTAGGTACAGAGGCCAGTCTTACAAGGCTCAACTTAGGCGGTAATCGCCTAGGCCAAGTGCCTCGGTATGCTCTTCAAAGGTTAAATTGTCTGCAAGGATTAAGACTGCATGACAACAACATATCGGAGATTCTTGTTGAAAATCTTCCTTTTTCTTTGTGCGATCTCGACTTATCTGGAAATGATCTAGTAAACCTTGAGCAGGAATCTTTCGTTACACTGAAACATTTATCTGCTTTGGATTTGGAGGATAATAGAATAAGAACTATTCACGAAGAAGCATTTAGTGGCATATACGGTAAGTAACATTTTCCTAAATCATAAGGCATTCTAAAAGCAATTTATTAGTTTTAATATAAAAAAGAGCTTCTAGAAAACCCTTCTACATCTGTTAATCTTAGTAAATACTTCCGTATTTTTACCTTTATTTTCTAGTTTGACAGAGATGAGTGTAAAATGGTATGTTTTTATGAGCGAAATAAAATTACATACATATTGTATTTAAGATAAAAATTAATGTTGCTTTGGAGAAGGGTGGTATAAAATATGGTAATGCTTTTTAATTAAAAAGATGCGAGAGATTCTATATTTCAAGTTTAAGCTCCTTATATTTTTACTGAATAGACATTGTATTGTTTCTATTATTTGTTATATACTTCATTCACAATCATTTTGTTTTTTCAAAAATGTTGTCGTTACATATGGCTTTATGTGAAGGATCAATCCAAACATATAAAACAGCTTAAGTATCATGCAAAAACAATGATGTACAATAAAATAGGAATAAACATTATATTAAGAATCAGAACAAATAATTATGGGAACAAAAGTGAAAGGTTAAAATTTTAAACAACAAGGAAAGAAACATAAGAAATGTAGAATTTACAAGGAGTTCATGAAAGTTCTGACATTTCTGCATAGTTTTTTTTTTTTTTAATCTCACCACGTTTCTAAGACCTTTTTGTCTAGTTCTGAACATATAAGATGTTTTTCAAAAATGCATTTTAATTATTTTAACGCGACGCGTAATGAAGTTTGTTTTGTATTATAAAGACTTTTAAATGCATTTTATGGAAATTAGTTTATCTTGAAAATTAAACAACATATTTTAATATTTTTGGTACTATAATTAAAAAGGGGATTTCAAATAAAAGAAGATGATGTTAGGAAACAGTATATATTTAGATAATTACAATATACACTACAACTCACACTAACTTGTTATGTGATTACTAGATAAAAATTTTCATTAAGACATTTTAAATGCAATATTAAAATTATGCTTAATTTATACTAGGTTTTGAAAATCGCGCTTGCTTGCTTAACTTTTGGGGATTAGCTGCGCCATAGGCTTCAAACCATTGAAGCAACCGTTGTATAAATTCTTATATACTAGTTTCATCTTTTACAGTTGAAAAGAAAGACATTTGGTTCAAAATGTTAAGAAAATTAATATAAAAAGCTATATATCTAATTTCATAACTCAATCTTGGGCAAAAGGGTGATTCTGATTAGTAATTAACATAAAAGATTATGTTAAGTCAAACAAACAAAATGAAATATTAAAATTATGGTTTTTTGTCATACAATTATCTTTATTCATTTCTATAATATACTTCCACTATTATTGAATTTTTACTAGAAATTCCCTAAGTGCTATTTTATTTGGTGGAATTCTTTAAAATTTAATGAAACTTTAAGTTGCATAGTAGGTTGTATTTGGTTTCTAAAGTGCGTCTTTAAATTGCATTTCCAGCAAAGAGATTTACAGCAGATAAATACTGTATGTTTCTTATCTGATGTGCAAATGCTTGTTCATGAGTTATGTGAATCCTAAATGTACTAAGCTTAGCATTAAATTTGAAATATCTTTTATCGAACATTATTTTTGAGTATTAAATTTCCGCTGAAAAATCAGAGATTCAGATAAAATTTTGCTATTTACTTGGCGAACATTCAATACGTATTCTTTTAACATATTTATTTAAATCCGCAAGATTATTAATAGTTACATCTTTCTTAATAAATCCGGGTGTATTACTTTTAGAAATCTCTCTAGGTAAATCAGTTATAGATACGCATTAGTTTGTTATATTAATATAATAAATTGCGCCCGTACCTAATCATTTGAAAGAACATCATTATTGATGCAGTTATCACGTCGCTTTGACAATTCTCGCAAAACTGTTTTAGCTGTATTATCACTAAGACATTTTGAGGATGCATTTAATTTATCTATCAGTTAATTTTTTATTTTAAAGTAGCTTTCCTTATAGTATAGCTTTCAGTCCATGCTTTCTTGCCAGACTATCAATAAGCTAGCAGGCGTGTATTCAAATAACGTAGAATGAAGTTATATTAAAAGGCAGGTTTTGGAAGGTGATTTCAGTGCGTGTTCTACCTGCATGAAGGCCACGCTGTTATTTTTAATTTACTAGTAATTAGATTTCTGTGGCGTTGAGCGCTTCTAATCGTTAGGCTTGTTTACACCGTTTTGTACGAGTCAGAGCCAGCCTGTGCTTTAAGTATCATGTCAAAGACCGTTAGGCTAATTTAATACTATTTTATTTCACATTACTTCTTAACTTTTGAGTGAGTGCTGGCTTCATTACTCACGAGTCGGTGCTATCTGTGAAATTTATATTGAATTAATAAAGGGTTCTTTACACCCTTCTCTGGACTTTATAGTACTTGAGGATAATTTTTCCCACAGTTTGTTAGCTCTCATTAGTTTATGTTACTATTTAATTATCTTAATAATGCATTTCAAGAAAACGCTGTATATTAGAAGCAATGAAAAAAAATGCTTAAAAAATAATAAGGACCACAGTTTTGATTTCATCAGAATTATATTCTATTTGCGCATTCTATAAGAGAGATATGATATTTACTTATTAAAAATATAAAGGTAAACTTTTTTAAAATAAATTAAAAACTTTATTTGTAAAATCGAAGCATGAATATGAAGTTTGAAGGACAGAAGTGCACTTACACTATCTATGTCATTTTTTTATGATGGCGTGATACTAAAATTTTTCCTGAATTTGTTTAGCTCTAATCAGATCCTAAATTCTCATTTATCACAATATCGCTTAATTTTTTTATAGGTATTAAATTTCGATTCGGTGGTTCTGCGGGTTTTACCCGACACAATCACTTTTATACCAAACTCATCGCTAAAGCATTTCACCCTGTATTACGAAGACGATGATTTCAAATTAATTCCGACCCGCAGATCCGTGAACTTCTATTGAAAATAGATAAAACCCGGATCCATTCTTGAAGAAGAACGGCTTTAAATTTCAGTCTTCTTTTTCATTCGTCTCTGCTTTGTTCATTAAATTGGAACTGGTTTTCTTGAGCGATACGTCATTTAGTTCCAGTAGTGTTTTCTTTTTCTTTTTTATATATAAATATTTTTTTTTTTTTCTGTTGATGTTGCGATGGAAGCAAACAAAAGCTTTCCTCTTGGTAAAGCGGTGATGCAAGGAAGAAAAAAAACATCCATCGAAAATATTTTCTTGCGACTTTACGATAATGAGTTTCCAACGCGACGCAGAGGCAGTAAGGGAGCTCATGTTGTTTTCTTTCTTTTTTCTACTACAAAGTATCCCAATGACTTCTTGAGCATTGTCGAGCACTCTTAACGATTAGCCTTGCCGACTTTGATGAGTTCATTGAAGACTAACTATGCTTCAACAAGGATTCGTAATAATGATGCCAGCTTTGTATAGTTGCGTCTCTTTAAATTAACGTAATCAGGATACGAATAAAATACTTAAAAGAGGCTCATTTGTATCGGAGATAACTTTGATACTTGAATTTTTAAGAGCCTATTTTCAACTTCGCTACCGTCTTAATATATAAACGCGTCAATAATTTCTTGCTGAGACGCTAAATCGAAACATTTTTAATTAATTAGTTGCTTGCCTTATTCTTTTACTGAATAAAGAATTGAAACAAATTTCACTTAAAGATAATTTACATAAGTTTTCTGTGCTTGCATGTGCCGCTCATAGTAGAAAGTAAGTCAAGGAAATAAAATCTAAAATGTAATGTAATAATTTATTGCATTTTAATGAGAAGCAGTTGAAACCTAACTTCCATAGTCCTACATACTTTTCTTTTGTACATAACAATATTTCTAAGCCATTTACTTTCCTTTACTCTTTTGAATTCCTTACCCACTTCTTACCCTTCTCTTTGGAACCCACGTACATTTCTAATTTCTTATTCCAATAGCATTTTGGATTTCAAATTAAATTATATAAATTGGGACAAGAGAGGGATTTTTCGGGAAGAGGAGGCAGATTTGCACATTTAACTTCGAATTTCGTAACGATATGAGTTTTGATTAAGTTTTAAAATTTCTGATTGTTCGCACCAGATTCGGAATGCTTTCAGAATACATGAATGACGAAGTGATTGAAAAGATGCTATAGGAAGGGCCGTTTATATATAACAGCATCTTAAATTACCAAATTTATGAGGCCATCTTAAAATAAGACATATAGTAGCCATTAGGTTATTTTGAAGCAGGAGATACAAAAAAATCAGTAATGCCCTCACCGAGACTCGAACCTAGATCTCTAGAATATGCGCCAAGTGTGCTATCATTACTCCACAAAGGTATACAGAAAGGAGAGAGAAAATACCTTATATTATTAATATCGATCAATCTTTAACCGAGCTTGTACTACATGAGCACTCTACTGTCTGCAAAAAGGCCGACTACCGACTAAAAAGGCCCGGGACTCGAAATACGAACCTCTCGAATACGCGCCGAGTGTGCTGACCACTACACCACGAAGGCATGCTAAGAAGACGGGTGAAATACCTTATAAACTCCCTCTTCTAATGGACGACTGTTGATTAGGGGACCCAATCGCCAAATATTGGTGGTGGAGAATCATCATATACCACATTTTTTTTTTTTTTTTTCGTTCGGGCGCCATTAGACAGAGACATAAGGATTTTTTTTGAAGCAGAATAGATGAAAAATGTGCAAAGCCCTCCCTAGGACTCAAACTTCGGGCCTCTCGAATAAGCGCCTAGTGTGCTGTCTATTACACCACGGAGGCATGCTAAGAAGGCGGGAGAGCTACCTTATAAGTGTCTCTAATACATAAATTATAAACTCCGAGGTTAGAAAAAATAGAAATCATTTATATAAGCGTTACAAACAAGATAACTGTTGTGGATTCAAGTAAGATAAACTATTTCAGTCATCTATCGATTTGAAGTTTTAATATTTATGTTTAACTATTTGTTATAACAAAATTTATCAATGAAAAAAAA